GCGATATGCTGACTCTGTAAACCGCTTAGAGAGGGCTGAAAGCCCTATGAAGCGGTATATAAGTCTAACTGCTATTGCTAACTGCTATTGATAAACCTATTTTTTGGAATAGGGAGGTGGCCATTTGAATTACCTTTAATAGGTCCACCAGGAGATGCTGTTTTGAATTCTCTAGGAAAGGGCTCTCCAACCATGGCAACTTTAAAAACTTGTGGACTTCAACTCCCAGAATTCCAAGCAAAGCTGGCTGAGGAACTCTGGGAGTTGAAGTCCACACGTCTTAAAGTTGCCAAGGCTGGAGACCTCTGCTCTAGAAGTCTTTCGGAAGGGAGAAGCCATCAGATAGAAACTGTCCTTGCTTTATGTTCTGCCTCACTTGGAGAAGAGGTCTGGAGTGCTTGAGAGCCTACACACAGTTTTGTGCCCTGTTGATTGGCCCTAATCAAAACATTAACCAAATAGCACTTTTTGAGTCTTTTGAGTGTATGGGTACACAAATATATCTCCGCTAGCAAGGTGCCTTCTAAGATGGGGCTAATTGCATTACCATTACAGGGCTAGTTTCAGGTTTTTCTTTGAATTGTCTCCAGAAGAGCAGTCACTCAGACTTGCAGACATACTGCATAGAATAAAGGAGGGCAGAGTTATATTTTATATATTATACAGAAACAAATTAAAAACCTTCTTATCGTCTTGGGCCACTAGGTGGCAGCTCCTACACTTGAATACTCCATTTCAAGGAACCAAAAAGGTGCCTTTAGCACAGTGTTTCTCAACCTTGGCAACTTGAAGATGTCCGGACTTCAACTCCCAGAATTCCCCAGCCAGCATTCACTGGCTGAGGAATTCTGGGAGTTGAAGTACGGACATCTTCAAGTTACCAAGGTTGAGAAACACTGCTTTAGCAGCTAACAGCGCTATATTTTCTTTTAACTCCCCTTGCTCTCTTCATTGCTATGCAGTACACTACCTAGGGAGGTGCTCTTCTTCCTCTTTTCCTTGTCACCTCCAACAGGTAACCCTCAGAAGCAGTTCTAGGTCCTTCCTCCTCTTCCTTTTTCTCCTTGTACAGCCTCAAAAGAATCTAGGGAGGCTTCGCTACGGTAGTTGCAAGCTGAAATTCAGAGCGAAATCAAGGATGAGAGGGTAGCAATCCACCTCTAAGCGAAGCGCTGTTTCCCCCCCAATGCAACAGCATATTGGAAATAAATTTTGTAACGAGTCTGTTCATGGATGTCTTGTTGACAGCAAGCTCTCTCTCCACAAGCTGAAAAGGAACGGGCAAAATTTTAGAGGAGGTGGGGTGGCAACAAAAGGAAGATCAGATGTGAAAATGGGAGCCACCTCAAACCGGGAGCTTCAAAAAAAAAATCCCCATTTGCCTCAAATATTTGGTAAATTTGAATCTGGGGTCTTAAGGACACGTGTCATCGCTTTCTTTTCTCTGCTCCTAAAAGCAAGCATTTCAGTAAAGATCCCGCCGCCTTCGCTGCTCGGGAAGTAGAGGAGCCACCAAACTCCGTATCTAAGCGACCCAATTCCCTCGCCAGCAGCCCTCGGGTTCTTATTGGCTACCTCTGGTATTGCATCACAATTGAGGAAACAAAGGATTTGATAGAGAGACTGCTGGGAAATACGCCCTCGTAGTTGCAGGCGGGGGAGAAAGATCCATTGTTTGGTAGGAAACACCGTATTATGCGGTTATTTCCCTCATAGGACCCCCCCCCCTTTTTTTTTAATAGGGACTAAAATCTCATTCCCCCTAAAGAATCTGCTAAATTGGTGTGGGTAACGATTGCATCCGATTTTGAAGTTAACGAAAACCGAACACGCTTTTAACGCAACGAAAAACATAAAAATCGTTTAAGCCGATTCTTAAAAGGTATATTTTTGTCCCTTCAGTGCCCGCGTTTAGTTCCCCGCTCGCCGAGTTTATTTCATCCATAAGCCTGCTAATTACTACCAGATGCACTCACTTCGTAGTTTTATATAAAGAACGTTTAAGTTCAGTTACAAGCCATAGCAACAGTACTCATGGAAACTCAGCTTTTTTATGAAAAAGTGGGTGGCCCTTAAAAGGGCCTTTTGATTTACTTTGAAAACTATCAAGTTGCAGTATTTAACCCCCGAATCCGTAGAGGGTACGGCCTTGGCGTTTCAAGGCATAGACCACATCCATGGCTGTCACGGTCTTTCTCTTGGCGTGCTCGGTGTAAGTCACGGCATCGCGGATGACATTCTCCAGAAAGACCTTCAGCACCCCGCGAGTCTCCTCGTAGATCAAGCCGGAGATACGCTTCACTCCGCCACGACGAGCCAAACGGCGGATAGCGGGCTTGGTAATGCCCTGGATGTTATCTCGCAACACTTTGCGGTGACGCTTAGCGCCCCCTTTTCCCAGGCCCTTTCCGCCTTTGCCTCGTCCGGACATTCTTTAGCCTTCTTCAACCCTTCAGCTCACAAAACCTCGAGAAACTGTGCCGCCAACTGGGATACAGAGAATTTATATTCTCTAGAACCCGACCAGAAAGAAACCTTCCCTTGAAGGGCGGTTACTTTACGCGGCGGAGCCTTTCCCGCCGTAAGTGACTGCCCCTCGGGTTTGTCCAATGAGAAAGGGAAACAGTTCGAAAGCACCAATGACAAACCACCGTTGGTAACTAAAATGTTGGCGCCTTTCTTTTGTTTCTGGTTTTACGCGTAAGGAAATTTCTTGTTGACCAAGTGTTGAGTTGAATAATTATAGTTAATTATATATTGTCCACATTTTGGAAAAACAAACCCTGTTTTGCTGGGATGAGAATATATTTTGCATAAGAGGACCGATCAGGTCCAAAATTGCCACAAACTTAACTGGGTGAAAATGGATACAAGATTTTATCGGAATGCTGTTTCTACGAGTTTTTATTACTTTGTAACATGAAAAAGAAAGTCCGCCCAAAAACAAAACACACCCAAAGCTTTTTTTTTTTAAAGAAATGCTGATGTTTCTGTAATACTGTACAATAAATAAATAGAATGGGTATTGGCTGAAGTTTGTGTACATTCAATTCAAAAATTATTTTGCACGTTA